AAAAAAAAGTGAGTCAGAACACCTCCCTCCTCAGCTCCCACCATGGTGCCCACCACCATGGCTCTCACCACCTTCAGAACAGAGGTCTGACTCCTCAGCCTGCTATTCCAGAGCTGACTCCCACTCTCTAGTCACAACAGACATAACGTAGCTCTGAGGTTCCACCAACACTCCCAATACAGTACCATATCCAATCACATGTACATGCTAGTTCTGTGTCTAACCCTAGTTCTTTCTTACCTCATCAGTAGGGTTTCACAGTGGGGTGCCCTTATTATCCCTGGATTCAATTCAAGACCATGAGTCAAGAGTGACTCACTTCTGGGGACCCAAACCTCAAGGGCAGGGAGAGAGGAAAGTGAAGCCAAATGACAAAGCCAACCCGTATATAGGGGAAGTCAAGACCAGGAGGGTGGGTGTCCCAGTATCTGAGGGCCTAAAGTCTGGCCAGGCACCTAGCCCAGGGGTCATTAGGCCATCAGACCCAGTGAACTGAGTGGGGCCTCTGGCCCACGAGCTTAGTCAACCCCCGAGACCTGCCACAGATGGGGTGCTACTTCTTCAGACTCACACTCTAAGCTTCAGTCTCCTTCATGCAAAATGGGCTTATGGTCCAGGCACAGCTTCCAGGGAACTAGAGCAGGTGTTGTTGACCTCAGATCCTCGGAGGAACCGGGCACACAGGTGAGCAGCAGCGAGCAGTGAAGCTTCATTAGTATTAACAGCTGCTCCCCATTGCTCGTATTACTGTCTGAGCTCCGCCTTCTGTCAGATCAGCAGTGGGATTCTCTTAGGAGCGTGAACCCTACTGTGCACTGCTCATGCGAGGGATCTAGGTTCTGTACTCTTTATGAGAATGGAATATCTGGTGATCTGAGGTGGAGCTGAGGCGGTGATGCTAGCGCTGGGGAGTGGCTGCAAATACAGATTAACATTAGCAGAGAGGCTTGCACACACCCCTCCCCCAACTGTAGAAAATTGTCTTCCACGAAATCAGTTCCTAATGCCAAAAGGCTGGGGACCGCTGACCTAGAGGAAGGCGGGAGAATGCAGGAGGCGCCAGTGGGCACGTGGCCTGGAGGGGTTACACCGCAAGCAAGATATTACCTTCTCCCGCGATGGTCTGAGAAGTGAAGAAACTTGCCTAAGGTCATATAAGTAGTGGCCTGAATGGGGCTTCGCCAAGATGGCCACAAAAATTCTGTTTTGGAGTCTTAGCACACTTCCCAGAGTCCCTCGCGCAGCTGTGAGGCCGTGGGCACGGAGAACCGGAAGTAACAGCCGAAACCAGGCCAGATGCTTAGCCGAAATCATGTCACCCAGAAGGCAGTGCCTGTGCGTCACAACGAACGCTCGTCCCGTGAGGACCTAGGAAAGGAGCGTTTCCGGGCAGCAGCAGGGGTGGGGGCGGGACTTCCTGCGAAGCCTTGTGGCCGCTGCCGGTCTGTCGACTTTCTCTTCCGAGACTGGAAAGGGGAAGATCCCTGTACAAGGTGTGACACCCCCCCCAGGGCGCGCGCCCTCTAGGGCTTCCGCACCCGCCCTCCTTACTCCAGATCCCTGGAAGCCAGCACCCTGGGCCTTATGCGCATTGTGCACAAGACTGAGGCTTAGAGTGCGAATGTGTAGAAGACATGCGCAGGAATGGCAGGACAGCGATCCGCAAGTGGATTCTATTCTTCTCCCCTTCCTCTACATGCTCGGTACCCAAGAGCCGCCTGGGAAGTGGCCCAGTCGCAGCCCCAGCCCCAGGCTCGGGTCTCCACAGAGAGCTAGGAGATTCTCGCACTAGCCATGGTGTTGTGGGAAGTCCCGCCCCCACCTCCGCGGGCCCCAAGAGACTCCCTTCTCCTGGGTCTTCATTTAAGTTCCAGCGGCCAACACACAGGCACTGCCTTCTGGGTGATGTGGTTTCTGTTGTGTATCCGGCCCAGCGTGGGCGGGCCCTTCATATTCTTCATTGACTAGGGCCCAACAGCATCTGGAGGGGCGCTGGGAAATAATGTTCTAAGGTTCTGAAAACAGGAACCACTCCATTTTTGTGGTCCTAAGCAAGCCTCTTAACTTTTCAGACCCTGGGGGCGGCAGGGATGCGGTGAAGATAATACCTTGCTTGCAGCGTCTGGATGTAC